ACATTCGCTTGATATAATTACGATTCTAAAATAAATCGAGGTATGCGTTCGTGCAACTTAGACCAAAATTTTCTTAAAATAATTAATAAAGCGTGATTAGTTGTGGACACGTACGCATGACACGATTTTGACGCGCCGAACCAAATGATTACACGTACACGTGACTCGTTTCAAGATAATTTTCTTAAATAAAAAACGGTAAAAGGTAAATGCACATAGGGTCTAAAATAAGTAATTAGATAATTTGATTAAGCCAAGTATGATCAAAGCGACCGTGCTAAAACCACAGAACTCGGGAATGCCTAAAACCTTCTCCCGAGTTAACAAAATTCCTTACCCGGATTTCTGTGTTCGCAGACCGTAAATAGAGTCAACTTCCTTAATTTGAGATTTTAAACCGGTGACTTGGACACCAATAAACTATCCCAAGTGGCGACTATAATTTTTTAAAAAAAAATAATCCCGTTTTGATTGTCACTTAAATTGGAAAAAACTCCCTTACATCCCCTTTTCGAGGTTAGTAAAAAGGAGGTGTGACAGTTGTGAGGTGGCTTGATTATTTGCAGGGGTGTTGTGATCCCGTGTAGCTTGTGGTGTTATGTGATCAAGATAGCTCTCGAGACGAAGATCATTTATTGCACCCTAGTTGTTCTTGGGTTTTGTGATGTATGGCGCTATCCGTTTCCCCAGGGTTATATTTTTGCACTTGGTGTGCTTGTGGTCGATATTCGGGTATTTCGTAGGTATAAGCATTTTGGCTTGATGGATATTACCCTATTTATTGTCATGTGTGGATCGGGTGGCACGCCGCAATGGTATCATGTGTGAATCGGGTTGCACGCTGCAACAGCGAGATGTTGAGCATGGTTCCTTATATTTATTTGTGCGTCATGTTTCTTTACTCTGAGAAAGGCTCATAGTATTTTATGGTCATTTTATTCGTTACGCGGATTAGATAGTTCTTTCTAGGGTTCGTTCTTCCTAATGTATTATATTCGAGCTTGTATCTTGTTGGTGCATTGTGGCATCATATGAGATCTTTGTCAATGTTTGAGGTGGCTTATTGTCGAGTAGCGTGTGCTGGGGGAGACGAGAATATTGAACCTGGGATAAGTGCAATCGGATTTATATAAGGCATATTAAAGTGCAAATATCGTTATGTAGTTCAGAATGTGGTTATAGTTCTTGTCAGGAGGAGAGACTCAATGATTTGTTGATTTGGCATGTGGTTATGAATTTCTACGTATCTCTTTCATCGTGGAAGAACTGCAAGAGTTGGAATAGGACTTACATGCATCATGAGGTGCGTTATGGGCATCAGATTCGTGGGATTTATTATTGTCAGAGAATGTTATTATGGTCATGTGAATTATGCAGTGCATGGTATGAATTCAGTAGAGGTATGCAATCATGTATTGGTCATCATTTAGTGATTGATACAGTGTTTGTATGTTGGAAACAGACCTGGTAGATAATTTCATATGTTGGAATTTGGTTCTAAGGCTTTTGACTAAATAAAAGGGAGAATCTTCAGACTCGTTCGAGCTAATATGATCAACTGGGTTGTGGGAGCATGGGTAGGTGCTCAAGGGATTAAATAGCGATTTCGGATTACTCCATAGCAATTCTTAGCACGTTTGAGGACAAATGTATGTTTAAATGGGAGAGAATGTAACTACTTGAGCATTTGTTTTGAGATCTAGCACGTCGTTTAGCGGTTTGAGGCCATGAGTAGCTTCACTTCAGGTATTATGACTTGTACGTGTGGTCGGAATTAAATTTCGGGAAGTGCGGAGTTGATTTGGAAAGAAAATTCTAATTTCGGAAGCTTTAAGTTAGAGGAATTGACAAAGGTTTGATTTTTGAGTAAACGACCTCAGAATCGGGATTTCAAGGTTTCAATAGATTCGCATGATAATTTTGGACTTGGGCGTATGTCGAGATCGAGTTTTGGATGACTCAGGAGCGTTTCGGCACCTGCTATTGAAAGTTGACATTATGGAAGAATTTCATAATTTGGGTTGAAGTATATTTTAATGTTATCAATGTCCGTTTGGAATTCTGAACCTGGGAATAGCTCCGTATGTTGATTCTAGTCTTAGGAGCGCGTCTCAATGTGGATTTGGAGGTCTGTATGTAATTTTAGGGTCATTTGGCAAAAGTTGGAAGTTAGAGGTTTTTGGAAGTTTGACCGAGAGTGGACTTTTTGATATCGGGGTTGGATTCCGATTCCGAAAGTTGAAGTAGTTTCATAATGTCAAATGTGAATTATGTGCAAAATTTGAGCTCAATCGGATGTGATTTAATAGGTTTCGGCATCGAATGTAGAAGTTTGAAGTTCTAGAGTTCATTAACCTTGAATTGGGGTGTGATTCAAGGTTTTGACGTTGTTTGATGTGATTTGAGTCCACGAGGAAGTTTGTGTTATGTTATGGGATAGGTTGGTGTGATTGAATGGGGTCCCGGGGACCTCGGGTAGATTCTGGATGGTCAACGGATCGAGTTTGGACTCGGAAGAAGTGATGAAGCAGCTAGCTGCCTTCTGGTATAACCGCACCTACGAGGCTTTGGCCGCAGGTGCTGAGCCGCAGAAGCGAACAAGAGGGATGCATATACGGATTTTCGTGAGCAGTGCTGAGACCGTAGATGTGGCCATCTCGCCGCAGAAGCGGGACTGCCCTACAGAGGGGGGCAGCGTAGAAGCGTGGGCTCAGGTGCGCATGAGGGCCGTAGAAGTGGCCAACGACCATGGCTTGGTTTCTTGCAGGTGCGAGACTTGGAGCTTCAGAAGCGGCTGTCATAGGGGTGACCTTCTTATCGCAGAAGTGGAATTTGTGCTGGGCAGTGAGGCTTCTTTAAAAACGGGAATTCGGCCCATTTTCATCTCATTTTGTCCATGAGAGCAGATTTTGGAGTGGCATCTTCATCGACTATAATGGTGTATGTAATTTCTTCACATTGTGAATTAAATACAAGGTTCGTGTATGGATTTAGACATGAAAATTTGTAGAAATTTGGGATTTTGAAGAAAGACTTAGAAATTAGTATTTTTGGATTTTGACCGCGAAATTGGACATGGAATTTGGAATAATTATATATTTGAGTTCGTAATGTTTATCTTCTAAAAAATTCGGAATCCGGGTAAGCGGGCCCGAGGGTGACTTTATCGATTTTTCAAGCGGAGTTGAAAATTATTATAAATTGAATTTTAATGAGTATGAAAGTATATATTTATGGATTTGCACATTGATTGACTAGTTTTTGAGCGATGGACATCGGTATAAGTTGTTTTGAAAAGCTTTGGAGCCGGTTATAGAAATTCGGAGCGAGGTAAATCTCTTTTCTAATCTTGTAAGAGGGAATTAACCCCATATGTGAATTGAATTAATATGTGCTTCAATTAGTAGGGGCTACGTATGCACGAGGTCACGAAAGTCCGTACATAGCTACTAATTATACTTATGTACAGGTAGTCTTAGATTTACATCATCCCTTGTTGATGCCGTTATTTGTTTATGCTTATTATTTGCCTTGAAAGAAGTTGAGATTGAGGATTTCGAGATTTAAAAGTTTTCAGTTTCAATTTCTTATTTTTGAAAAGAATCGAGGAATATTATGATAAATTTGAGAAATCTATGTTCACTCGCATCGTAAGTATATTTCGCGAGCGAGATAAATTCCACTACTCTCATAAGAGAAGGCCTTTTGTCACGGCAGGTTAATATATGCATTTATGGTTCGTACAATTCGATCGTCGGCAGTGCACAATTTATACATTTGTATGTTGGATCGAGCCATATGACCTCGGCATAAATCGTGCATAAAAAAATCTTGGATGTCCAATTATAATCGATAATGTTTCATTGGCTTGAGAGATTAATTTTTTTAATGATGAAAATTTATTTGGGAATTACTATCAGTGAAAGAATTATTTACTTATTTCTAGTTATTGAGTTTTCTGCTCTTTTTTTTTTACATGATCCATGCTCAATTAAAATATCGGTATTTTATTGTTAGCCCATACCAAGTATCGGAGTTGACCTCTTATCACTACTTCTTTGAGATTAGACTAGATACTTACTGGGTGCGCATTGATTTACGTACTCATATTACACTTGCTGTACATTTTGTGCAGGTAGATTATGTCTTTGTTGTCTTGTGGGCACAGAGGTGCAGCTATTGCGGGGACTTAGGTGAGTTGTATCCCATGTTATGAGTCCGCAGAACATAGAGTCTCCATCAGAGTTATTACACTCTCCTATCTAATCTGTTTTCCAGACAGATATTGTAATTTACCATATTTCCTAGTTGATGCTCATGCACTTGTGACACCGAATTTTGGGGTTGCTTATGGGTTGTTCATTATTGTAGTGGCGAAAAATATTATCATTTACCCTGTAAATTTTATTTCTTACTATTTAATTGAAGGAAGTTATGATTTTAAATATACTAAAATGAGTAATTAAGTTAATCATTTATTGTTGACTTTCCTAACAACGGTGTTAGGCGTCATCACGACCATTAATGAATTTTGGGTCGTGACAATTATATGTGTGTATTAGTCCATTAAGTTATATACAAATGTCCGCTCTCTTATGTTTTTTTTTTGTATGTTACAAATCTGAATGATGAAATTTCATATGATTATTCATTTTTGCATATGTTAGTTGTGAAGGAAAGTATACCTATCATTACGGGTGAACAAAACCAAACCGCAGATCGCACCAAACCGACAAACCGAGTCAAACCGGAAAAAAAAACCCGATTAGTGATTTGGTTTGATTTGGTTTGGTATTTAAAAAAACCGACTATAAATGGTTTGGTTTGGTATTAACTAAAAAAATTCAACCTGCGACTAAACCAACTCGATATTTTATATATATATATATATAATTTTCTTTAACTTAGTTTATATTTTTTAACATCAGATTTGGGCTACAATTTTTATGCCCATTGCCCATACATCACTTAGGTAAAAAAGCTCACAAACCATTACACCTGACCCAAGTACTGATGTTTAGTTCACTTCCAAAGTTGGAGAGAAAAAATTTTCGTTCACTTCCAAAGTTGAGAGAGAAGCAAACCCTACAGTCGCACATCTTGAGTTCTTCCTTTTCAATTCAAGTTCACTTCATCCGATTCAAGTTCAGTTCGTCCGATTCAAGTTTAATTCGTCCATACTCAGTTTATTTGAATCAACTCATCTTGATTTGGGGTAAGTAAAATCTCTATTTCAGATACTTCTTATAAACATAAGCTTTGAGATTTGGTTAACCCTTTTCATTTAGTTTTGTATCATAAGCTAATAACTATTGCTTTGAGATTACAACTTTCTATATCATGTGCAGTGACTCTCTTTTCGGATGGAAACTACACCTTCTGCACTGGATGTGGAGATGATTATCAACATTCCTCCGACTATGCCAATGACATCTCAACAGCAAGGTATTGGCACTCCTCATCGACGCGTTCCTCCTAAAAAGCAAAAAAGAACAACTCCTCTAGTACTTTCTAAATCTGGGAATACTGGTAGAGAGACGTCTGAGATTTGGGATCATTTCTCCAAATTTATTGCTAAAGAAGGTAAATGTAGGGCAAAATGCAATTATTGTCCCAAAACCTTTGCTGCCGAAAGCATCAATGGGACTACTATGTTATGGACACACATAAATGTGAAATGTCACAAGTCCCCCTTTAGGCTCGTTGATAAGAGACAATCCACATTAAAACCTACCAAAGAAGGCTGGCTAGCAGGTGCTTTGGGTTCTACTGAAAGGGTGGTGTATAATGTGGATGAGATTAGGAGGGCCATTGCCGAATTTGTAATTATTGATGAGCAACCATTTAGAGATGTTGAGGGAGAAGGATTTAAGAAACTAATGGCTAAAGCTTTACCAAATTTTGAATTACCTTCTCGTGTAACTGTTGCTCGACATTGTTTGAAGATTTATCAAGAAGAGAAAGAAAAGCTTAAAGAGCTTATCAAGAACCAACGTGTATGTCTTACTAGTGATACATGAACATCACTCCAAAAATTTCACTTATATGGTTGTCACTGCACATTGGATTGATGATCAATGGAATCTACAAAAGAAAATTCTAAACTTGTTTGAATATACAATGTTAGATAAAGCTTTAAAATTTGAAAAAGCTTTTACAAGAATGTATTTGGAGGACCAAAAGTACCAAAAATACTGTCGAGAAATAAGTACAATAAGAGGAAATCCATCAACAGATGATTGGAAGAATGTGAAAGCTTTTGTCAAGTTTCTTAATATTTTCTATCAAACAACATTGAAATTTTCAGGCAGTTTGTATGCTACTTCCAACTCTTTCTTCCATGAATTTTTTAATCTTCGAAATGATATTATTAAGTATACTAAAAGTGATGATCTTACTTTGGTTGATATGGCAAAAAGGATGAAAAGTAAGCTTGAGAAATATTGGGGTAAATTTGAGAGTATGAATATGCTACTAATTATTGTTGTTGTATTAGATCCCAGATACAAGATGAAGTATGTGAACTACATTCTTTCCATTGCATATGGTACTTTGTTGGGAAGAATAAAGTCTGAAGATGTGGCGAGTATTTTGACTCGCTTATATAATCACTACAATGATTCTTTCTCTGAGAATTCTAATGACAATATTGAAGGTGACATTGGTATAACGAGTGAACCTGGTGATTTGTTGCAATCTCAATGGGAGAAATATATGGAAGAGGAGGGAAATAGTGAAAGAAAATCCGATCTTGAGATATACTTGATAGATGATGTGGTAAAAATCAAGGATTTTAATATCTTGAGTTGGTGGAAAGCTTCATCTAGTAAATATCCAATTGTTTCAAAAATTGCTAGGGATGTTCTTTCTATTCCTATTTCTATTGTTGCATCTGAGTCAGTTTTTAGTACAGGTGGTCAAATTCTTGATACTTATCGGAGTTCTTTATCGCAAAAAACGGTAGAAGCTCTTATTTGTACTCAACAATGGATACGATTACCTTCTAAAGAATGCAAGTTTGAAGACCTTTTGGAGGAAGTCCAGAAACTTGAGGAAATTGAAGAAGGTAATTTTCTTCAATTCTTAATCAAATATGGTTCTGTTTGTTACTTTGTTTTATTTTATTTAGTACTCAAATTGTTTCTGTTCTCTCAGAATATCCAGACTCACCTTTGAGGATTGATTAGCCAGCTCTGTTCCTGATGTTACAGTTCATGATGGAATAGATTGTTTGTTATTAATAGCTACTAGTTGTACACAGTCTTTTAATTAACCAAGACTTCTTAAGTTTACTTGAGACAGTTGTGAATTGTAATAGTCTAGATGATCTTAGAGTATTACTCCATCAACTCTAATGTAGTTATAGTTTTGTCATATTCTGTTTTGTATCTAATGCTATTGGAAGGAGTTGGAGTAAAGTACTGAATTTCTCTAGCAATTGTTTACTTGTTGAAGTTATTTTTTAGTAATTAACCTTGGATTTAAGTGTTGAAATTGGTGGCAAGCAGAGGCATATCAACTTGATGGCATGGGTTCCTTCTGTCTAGTGATATGGATATGCTTGTGTGTGTGCTAGTTTTAACAGGTATTCTGTCCAGTGGTATGGATATACTTTTGTGTGTTAGCTAATTTTAACATACTTTTGTGTGTTAGCTAATTTTAACAGGGGAAAAGTACTTGTTAAATTGAGCAAATTTAAATACTTATGGGAGTTTGCTCTATGTGCTAAATATGTTTAATCTCAATTATCTTTTGGCTTTTCTCTTGCGCCTCTTCATTTAAGTCGTAGTGCTGCCCATTGAAGTTGATTTGAAATTTATTGAAACTGTTGGCCATTCTAATCTTGGACGTCGAACTACAAAAACTCGAGAAACCCGAAAAACCCGAAAAACCCGAGAAAATCGAAAGCTGAAAAACCCGAGTGTTATTGGTTTGGTTTGGTTTATAAATATAAAAACCCGACACCTTTGGTTTGATTTGGTAAAGGAAAAAGCCGAACCAACCCGACCTATGTACACCCCTACCTATCATGCATATTACTTGAAACTTAGACCCATCATATGATTTATATATAACATATAAGGATAATCAAGCATGTCTTTTTCTTCCTAAAAATCAAACTTTCACACCTAGAAATGAGAAATATTCTTTCAAAATCATTAGATAGCAATTCCCAATGTGTTTGTGCTTTTGTAATGATAATAAATAAACTATTACGGCCGAATAATATTCCTTAATGTTGTCTTATACATACCGCAATATATTTTCTAACATAGATATTTATATATTTGTGCTTTCAAAAAGAATATTGATGCTGCAATAAAAGATCCATATAGAGCAACCAAACTATCAAGATATCGTACACACCAAGAACCTCATATAAGGAAGTATAGGTTAATATACAATAATAGCACATGATTATACCTCATAACATTAAAATTAATAAGAAATACACATCGTAGCTACCTAACTAAATATAGTTGTTTAGTTTCGCAAATGATATCTTATCCTATAGTAGTCAACTACCAAGTAGATCGGCTTAATATGAACGCATTCATCATTTTAAGCTTATAATTTTTTCCTTTCAAATTTTATTTCATACATCACATGTTTGTGTAATATATATGCAATTTTTAAAAAAATTTATACTAATTGAACAAGGGTATACACGTGCAACACACGTATTTCGAAATTAGTAGTCATATAAATGTTACGGTATGTTCAAAATCATGAGTATCAAAAATCTTATATCGACATAAATATTATAAAATATTTAAAACCACACATTTAAAAAATCTTATATAACGATATAAATATTGTAGCATAGTTAAGATCACAAATTTGAAAAATCTTTTGTACCCACTGTAGGCATATAAATTTTATTAAAATTAGATTCATGAAATAAGTTGGACAATTTTTTAAATTCAAGATATATTGGTTTAAATAAATATTATAGGCTAATATAATTGAATTAATTATATAAGTCTAATATATATAGATTAAATAAATAATTCTAATTTCATTGGGCTAGCCCATCTAGTTGAGCTAAAGTGATGAGCTCACTTCATTAAACCCAAGATATGATCTTCCTAAAGCCCAGTTTGGTGCCACACGTCATATGACGTGGCACGCCAAGTCAAGCTTAAGATCCAATAGCATCATGACACGTGCCAAAATGACAAGGCATGCCAAGTCATATTAAAATGCCAATAAAACTATGCCACGTGTGCAAGTGATGTGTTTTGGCCAATCAAATGCGGCCTTGTCACACTTCAATTTGATTAAAGGGGTCTTCATAACCCAGAAAAGATACCAGAAGTTATAACAAGAAGCAAGAAAGAGCTTGTGGATCAAACGCTGTTAATTCCTCCACAAGTTTAATGTTCAAGAAATCAAGTTCAAGTTCAAGAAATCAAGTTCAATTTCAACCTCAAGAACGAACACCAAATTAAGTTCAAGCTCAAGAACAAAGAACAAATCAAGATTCAAGGAGTACAAGTTCAAATCAAAGTTCGTGCTAGTTGAATTCAAGATCAAGCTCGAAGGCCCTTGAATTTATTTACTATTGGAAAGAAGAATCCGAGGATTCATATAGATTGTACACTCAAATTATTTGAAATCAAATACTACAATTGTTGTAATATTTTTCGTTCTTGATTTTATTTTCTCGATGCATATTTATTGTCTACAATTTCTGGCACGTCCAGTGGGACAATCTCTACCTGTCATCTTAGCTTTTCAACCACCAAAATTGAAGAACATTGAAATGGCTTCAAATAAAATTAACTCATGTTCAACTTCCACCAATGCTATTAATTCCAGGTTATATGTTGATGTGGAAAGCATCCTCGATGTTACTTTTGGAAGCTTTGGACCAATTACGAGGAGCAAAGCAAGCTCGTTATGACAAAAAGCACCCCAAGTGTCGTCTGCATCAACCCTTGTTTTTGGATCTTTATCCTCAAAATGAGAAAGATCTTCCACAAACGCACCCGAAGGAGTAAGCGATGTTGCTGAAAAGATCAAGAAAACTCTTGCTCTACTTGACCTCTCCAGATCCAAGTACTCTGTTATGAAGGAAGATGATGATGCTTCAGTCATGGATCCTTCCCACTTACACCACATAGTGTGATCCAATCAAGGATCAATCTATGTGACAATCCACGCTACTCTCCATCATCCACGACAATCATGCAAGCCATAGTGACAAACACTTCATCTATGGAGGAGTAGTTGGCAAACTTGACGGAAGCAATCGCTGGCTTGACCAAGTGCATGCAAAATCAAGATGCTAGAATCGATAAGCTAATAGATAGGGTGGGCATCTTGAAGGAAGAAGAATCCACCCACGCACTTGGCAAGCTCTCATAAGTTCCATAGAGTGATTCTCTTCCAAGACAAGTAGTATCCGCTATGTCTATCCCTATCTCATCTGAAAGGATGATTCCGATCGATCCGCTGAAGGAGTTCATTAAGGAAACCATTAAGAACAAGTATGAAGTTGCTGCCAAATCCTTTCTTACATATGCAAAGTCGTACACTGCAAGGGTCGATATATTGAAGAATCATCCTGACTATCAACCTCCAAAGTTTCAACAGTTTGATGGCAAAGGTAATCCAAAGCAACATGTGGCGCACTTCGTTGAGACGTGCAACAATGCTGGGACTAATGGAGATTATCTCGTCAAGAAGTTTGTCCGCTCGCTAAAAGCAAATGCTTTTGACTGGTACACAAACCTCAAGGGTGGATCTATTATAGCCGGGATCAATTGGAGCAAGAGTTCCTCAATCACTTTTATAGCACGAGACATAGTATGAGTATGATAGAACTTAAAAATACTCGTCAACGAAAGGGTGAACCAGTTATTGACTATATCAATCATTGGAGGAATGCAAGCCTCAACTACAAAGAGAGGCTTAGTGAAGCTTCTGGCATAGATATGTGCATCCAAGGCATGCATAGGGGACTCCACTACATCTTGCAACGTATCAAGCCTAGCCCATTTGAAGAACTTGCGACTCGTGCCCATGACATGGAGTTAAGCATGGCCTCCCCTAGAAACGAAAGGCTGCCTATCTATGAGCCTCAAAAAGGGAACGACAAGAAAGAAGTCAAGAAATGGAGCAAGTTTGTGCTCGAGTCTAAAAACAAAGAAGCTATGAATGTCAACACATCACCTGTGAAGTTCACAATAAAGGTGAGCAAGAAGCAAAGTACGAAATCCACTTCTTTTCAAGATAAACCAAGTGGGAAGTTGACTCTAAAAGGAATGCAAAAGAATAAGTACCCATTTCTGGATTTCGATGTGTCAGCAATTTTTGAAGAATTCCTCGGGTTAAATCTTATTGAGCTTCCGGAGATGAAGCGGCCAAATAAAGCTAGTAAGACAAATGACCCAAATTACTGCAAATACCATCGACTTTTTAGCCACCCTCTAGAGAAGTGCTTTGTCTTCAAGGACAAAGTTATGGACTTGGCTCGTGGAAAGAAGAGTGTGCTTGAAGATGAGAAAGCAAGCGCAAACCAAGTCTCTATCACCTTTGGCTCATTCATTCCGGATGAATTATGTGAATTTAAAGAAAGTAAAGATAAAGAAGAACAACAAAGTTGAAGTCGATCAACCTGATGATGATGAAGGTTGGACGTTGGTGACTCGTCGTAGGCGCCATAAAAGGAGCCTACGAAAAGAACCAATAGAACAACCAACAAGAAAAATGATTGTAAAAAGACCAAAGAAACAAAATTCAATTAGGCATTTGAAGAAAGCAAAGGTGGAGGTGCAACACCCTCAAAAGCCACGAAATCAAGTGACCTTGGAGGATATCTTGCTATGTTGGTTCCACATGAAGATTTCCCGTGATGATATAGAGCCCTCTTGTAGCAACGCTGATAAAAGGGAAGAAAAGAGTAATGACCGTTGGCACAATCTTTAGAAAAGCTCATCGAGTCTATTCCTCAAAAAGTTAACGCAGACGAGGAAAATGTTACGATCACAGATGAGGATCTTCTACAAGGTGACACTATTCATAACCGCATGTTATACCTGGTGGGCTATATGCGTGATAAAAGGGTAAATCGAATTTGGTTGATGGAGGATCCTCAGTGAACATCTTGCCAATTTGCACTGTGAAAGAACTTGGTATTCCCATGAACAAACTACCAAAAAATCGTGTCATAATTCAAGGATTCAACCAAGGGGGCAAAGAGCTATAGGTGCAATCAGGTTGGGAATCACCATTGAAGATATGCAATCAAGTGCATGGTTGCATGCGTGTAACGACCCGGCCGGTCATTTTGAGAATTTACTCCCCGATACCCTATTAATTGCATTCCCCGTATTTATTTCTACTATTGTGATTTGCCG